GGAGGGCGTCAAAGAAAGGAGGCGAACCTGCCGTTTCAACGTGAACTTAATGGACGGATGTGCTGGGTTGACAACATTTAAGAGTGCATAGGCTTCGCTAGCGGCTACCGCGAAGATCTCATCAACGTAACGACCACGGTGTTTTAATTTTTGGATCCGATCGCTTAGTTAAAATTTATCTAGCTTGCCCATGAATACGTCAGCGAGAAGAGGTCGAAAAGGCAAGCCCGCAGCATAATTGGTTGTCAAAAAGGAACTGCATATTAAGTGTGCATCTTAGTAATAGTTCCTTTAGTGCCTTTGTCGATACTCCTATTTCCAGCTGCTTTGTCAATAGGAATTCGCAAATGACATCGACTGTCTCGGCAACCGGGACGTTTGTAAACAGCGATGAGATGTCTGGGGAGAGAATCCTAATGCCGCTTAATTTCTCGTCTTTGACGTTATCGATAAATTTGAACGTGTCTCGACAACTACGTGGTGCCAGCTGATGCTTTAAAGGCTTGAGTTTCTTTGATAACCACTTCGCTATCGCATGATACGGCGAGTTGCGTATTTCCAGAATCGGACGAACTGGCGGGCCACACAAACGGCGGATGTGAGTGCCTACTGGTCGGAGGCGTTCGAGGCCACGGTCGCTTGTGAAACCTCCCGTGTGGAGTCATTCATAAGAAGTCAGTCGGCTGTGCATCTACTTCATCCGTGCAATCTTTTTCTATGCTTCCTTTCTTGAATTTCGTCTGATCTGATAGGATGGTTTGCATCTTCGCTATGTATTCCGATCGGTTAATTATAACGACGTCCGTTACTATATCAAGCCTAGTAACCAGGATGTCTTTGTTCTGTCGCAGCTATTGTAACTCTCTAAGTGTTGTTTTGTCAGCAATCCCTGGCTTGTTGGACTCTTGCTCAGGTACTGGTAACTACAGTTAACCAGTGCTGATTTAAAATGCTGGACACTTTCTGCGGAGATGGGCTTTAGATCATAGGTTTGGTTATAAAGATTCTCGAACTGGGTTTCTAATTCTAACTGATTAACCTTTCGAGTAGGCATGCAGGATTTAGGACCGAAGTAGAATGTTTCAAGTAATGTTTTACCAAGCGTCACAGAGGAGTAGTTGTGGACGTAACGCTCTCGCATGTTAACCTTTGACCTCCTTGCCACATGAAT